ATGAAATATATACAAATGATTTCACTAGAAAAACCTGACAATTTAGTTGAGGATTAAGCGAAATAATTACTTTATAGTGATAGTTTGAAGTGAAGTATACGAATTTTGGAATAAAACGTTCCAGTGATTGAGAATAAAATTATGTAGTTATGAAATATTAAGAATGGATGCTAAGATTAGTCATGTTTTTAAATTACTATCTACTTGATTATAGTTGTACATTATAAGACCACAATTGTTAGATCATTTCGTGAATAACTGTACAGTTCGACTAAAATGGATTAATGGTTTTATGGAGGATCAAGGATCAAGGTCATCTGACAGGCGACTGAGAATCAAGTAGAACTAGGCAGTTAACTTCGGAAAAAATTCGTGATATCCGATGATTATATTCAATCGCTTGGTGAATGATACATTACTGAAGGCGTTCGATCTCAGGTTTGTAAACGTGTTTTCAAACTATGGCCTTTCTCTTCTTTACATTCATGTTAACTAATTTGGTCGATACTAAAATTAACACAAATTTTGAAGTAATATCGATACAACAGAACATGCACCGACCAAATCACTCTTGATGGAGATGCCTAGGAATACGTTAACACCTTTACATATCTGGGCAGCATCATCGACAATCAAGGTGGACCCGATGTAGATGTAAAGGCACGGATCGGCAAATCAATGTCTGCATTTCTACAATTGAAGAACATATGGAACTCCAAACAAATATCAACCAACACCAAAATCAGAATTTTCAATACAAATGTCAAGATAGTTCTTTTACGTTTTCTACTTGATGTAACTCCAAACCACTGTACTAATGACACATCGAACGTTAGACCCCTCCGTTCAAAAATAAGAAGACGGAAGACGTTGGAGAACGCTTATTAACAGAATCAAAAATATACAATCAAACATGCGTATTTATATAATTATATAAATGTCGTTTAAATATTTTGAACATTAATCAATTAGTTCATCGTGAACATTAATCATATAGTTCATCATGAACATTAATCAAATAGTTCATCAATCCACCATGTGCGTGGCTTTCTTCTCGATTGGCTATCCCAACAAGTTCTACTATATGGAAAGGAAACTTGGAGAACTACGAAAACCATCATCCAGAAGATGCAAATATTTAGTAACAGTTGTCTACGCAAAATACTTCGGATTCGTTGACCAGACACTATCAGCAACAACCTACTGTGGGAGAGAACAAACGAGATTCCAGTGGAGGAGTAAATCAGGAAGAAGCGGTGGGAGTGGATATGACACACACACAGCACGAAGCACCCAACTGCCTTACAAGACAAGCCCTCACTTGTAACCCTCAAGGTAAAAGGAAAAAAAGGAAGGCCAAAGAACACAATATGCCGAGAAATAGAGAAAGATATGAGGAGAATGAACAAAATTGGACGGAACTGGAAAGGGAATCCTGGAACATAGTAGGTTAGAGAATACTGGTCAACGGCCTATGCTTCATTGGGGGTAGCAGGCGTAAGAAAGTCGAAGTAATGTAGTAATACTGTAGAGATATGCTTTATACACAGAGAGAGAGAGTCCTGGACTTCAAGTTAAATTAGAATAAATTTTTCGTACTATAATTTCATTTGTCTCTCGAACATCTATCTAAACTCTTCAAACTAAGGTATATTAAATATTCATTAATAATTACTATCGGTTGTATACAAATGATTAGAAGCCATGAAATAGAATAAATTTATATTATCCTGTTGTTCTGACTGTGTTTAAATGATCTTCATAGCCATTCTCGCTCATACTCATATAAAATTCACATGATCACCTTCAAAGAATTGATTTATCTCCAAATCTAACATATTCAACTACTGTTAAACACAAAGCTCTCTCATGCAGTCGTATTGATAAAAAAATGCTTACTAACCATTTAAGTCTACAATATTTAACTACAATTAAAATGTTACAGAATGTTGTACCACCATACGTAATATGACTCATTAAATAGATAAGCATTACTAAAATGAATATTTTATGATCATGCCTGGGAAATAGATCTATGTATATATACATCTGCCAGTCACTAGATACTGCTAATGATTCATTATTCATCATAATAATAAGAAAATGGATTACACAAAGTGTATTATTAATATCCACTATCTGAATTATCCAGAATTCATGTATCAAACGATAGACTGGACTGACAAGAGGAATTCATAAAAATGAATGTTATTAATCAAAAAATAAAAAAAAAATAAATATCCAGTTATTGTAATATTCGTGTACAATAATGATCATATTGAAATAATGTTTCGTTTTAATTAATAACAGTGGAATAAGGATTTATTTATGAGGGATAAAACAAGAATAAACACTGATAACCACTGTTTCTTATAGAAAGAGAGCGAGTTTCTCCAGAGATTGTTCACGTTGAGGTTAGTTTCCACTACAGATTGATAGATCAATGAAAATGGGAGAAAACTGTGCAAATAAATGCCCTAATTATATTTAAAGTAGATTTTTGAAGTTCTATGGAATGTTTATAGAGTTTAACATTCCAGAAGTAAAACATATATATATATATATATATATATATATATATATATATATATATATATATATATATATATATATATATATATATAGTTGGGATCTTAGATCGTCTGTTTCGCTCCTATCATAAGACCATTCAATTTCCGTCTCAATCTTATGCGACTACGTAGCTGTACACTTCTGAAGAATATTAAGGTAAGACTAGAGACAGTTTTCTCATGTTTAATTATATTTACTGATCAGTAGTAACCTGACAGTGAACTGTGACAACGATTAAGTTATTAAGTTCATATTGTTCATAAATCACAAAGGTTACTACCACGGATTGTGCTTGAGAAAAGGAAAATGGCATTTCATTGCTTTCAGGTTTTCAGTCTACATGGAAATCAGAAAATTAGGATTTGATAGAACACAAAGAATGGATGCATCTGCGCCATTGCAAACGATTTTAGTCTATGTCATTCAAAGTCCATAACTATTGGTTACTATTGTCTCGCGGACTCCAACCAGGTAGTCTACACCTACCAGCATGGCTCAGTCCACTTCTCAGTGACTTCATGGATTTATGCCACGTATAAATCTCAGCGCCACTAGTTTTTTTCCAGTTTAGCCTACACAAAGCATCACCGCTCGTCGAGGCAGTCGGCGATGGGTCATTCATAACACATATTGCAACCACTTTAACTGATAAAGTTTCACTACTTCATCAGTTGATCTGCCATCCTTATCTAGTAACCATTTTCCAACAACAGAGTTGCTTAGTCAATTGTCCCAGAATATACGAGCAATGCTTCAAAGACACCCATGATCGAATACTAGTAACTTAAGGACATTCTCTTCTCTTACTGGCCTTGTCTTATACCCAGTCTAATTTAGACATCCATTACCGCTTTCATACCAAATGAAACAACCAGCTTCTTTCAACTAAACAAATCAATTTTGACCGTTTGAATTTATAAAGCGAAGGTATTTATTGTGACACACCAATATTCCAATGACCAATGTACGTAATCTAACCACATATACCAACCAGTTCGATCTAGAAAGCATACGGTAGTAAGAACCGGATGACACTATGGAGGTTTCTTCATTACACTGATGTACCTAAAAAGATAGTCAATGTCATACAAAATTCTTAAGATAGATTAAACTACAAGATCGTTCATGGAGAGTAGCTCACAAACTCAGAATCTTCAATACAAATGTCAAGAAAGTTCTACTGTATGGGTGGGAAACATGGAGAACCATCAAAGCCATTACTCGGAAGATAAAAGTATTTAATAACATTTGTCTACACAAGATACTGAGGATCCGTCGGACAGATATCACCAGTAACAATCTACTGTGGTAGAAAAAAAAACCAAATTCCAGCTGAGGAAGAAATTAGGAAAAACTGCTGGAACTGGATAGGAAACACATTGAAGAAAGCACCGAACTGCATCACAAGACGAGCCCTCATTCGGAATTCTCAAGATTAAAGGAAAAGGGGAAGACTAAAGAATACAATACGCTGAGAATCAGATGCAGACATGGAAAGAATGAACAGCAATTCAATAGAACTTGAAAGAAACGCCTAGGACAGAGTAGGTCAGAGAATGGTAGTCCGTGACCTATGCTCTACTAGGGGTAACATGTGTAATAAAAAATCAATTATAAGAATGCTAAGTAACATTCCTAAATAATCTAAATTATTGAGTGTTTGTGATGTGTCTTTATCAGAATATTCTTACTGAATAAAGTAATTGCCTACTCTTGAGTGTAAATAAATTCATCGCTTTCTTTTTAATTTTATTCTACGTGATAGTGTGATCGTCAGCTAAGTAATTGACAATGCATAATCCCTGTTGGCATAGACTACATAATCTATCTCGTAAATTGACTATCTTGAAGTGATATTAAATGATTACTTCTTATAATTTACAAATAATCATTGAATCCTGTGATACTATATCTAGACTCAAGGCAAACCAAGAGATTCTAGTTCCATACGCTCTATAAAATAGAAATCTGAATCTCAAATCAAATGCTTCTATAATATTTGGACACACAAGCAGCTATACATACATTTGTCAACAAATCAATCAATCAGGGTTAATTTCTGACCTAACATGAGTATATATCACTACTACTCAACTTTATCCACTTTAAATCTACACAATCAAGGGAATAAAACATAAGACATTCAACTCAAAAAATTAAATATTTTTTAAAAAAAAGTAATAAAAAGTATACAATAACGTTATGCTCAAAAATTTATCAACAATAATAGAATGACAACTTCAATAACGTAATCATTATCAACTATATATATACGGAATGTCACTCTCTCAAGAATCGAGGTAACACGAAAACAAACAAAAAAACTAGAACATACAGAGGAACACCGGAAATGCAAGTGAAACTGTATATTAAAAACATTTGAAAAAATTCTATAAATCTATATAAATTTTTTACTGTACAAAAATGCAGCTGATCATTGTTTGATAATTTGATTACCATGGTCTCCATAAACTATTCGTTTCATTGGAAAGAGAATTATTTTCTGATGTTGATGCTGAGGATGCTGATGATAATACTAATGAATAATGAGATGATGATGCTGATGAGACAGGCTGACAATTATTTTTCTTCAATTGAATCAATGAATTAATTAGACTAGATTGTTCATCATTTTGATATGAAGTATTATTCTGTGTAGGACTATAATCTGGCATAGAGTTTATCGATTCAGATGAATCACTATTACCACTAATGGAAGTTTGTTTAGCTAAGAATGATAATGTATTCAAAGGATTTAAATTGAATTCAGTATTCAATATTTGTGATAAGGTAAACTGTTTGGAATGGATTAATTCATTGGTAATAATATTGTGAAGATGATTATTTTGTTCATTTTGATTATTATTAGTTATAGATGTTGTCGATAAAGATGTTGACGATGTACTAGATTTTTGTTGAGTTTCAAAATGTTTTTGAATAATACTTTTGAAAGTAGTTTCACATGAAAGATATCCATAATAAAACATTCGAGCTTTTTCCAATTGTTGTGATTCATTGAATGTATTTTGATATTTTTCTGAATGAAGGTCTAAAAATTGATGAAAAAAGAATTTTAGACTAGAATTCATTTAAATTCACTAGGTGATTTATTTGAGGAAATAAAAGACAAAATGAAGTAGAAACAAGTTATGAACTGTTTACTTGTGTATGTAATTATATTTCAATTTAGAACAGTAAAACAAATTCATGAAAGTATTTCCTCATATTCTATCGAGTTAAATTTATTCCCTTTGACTTCGGGCTTCTTCACTAGTCTTTGAATTATTCAAAGTGTATTTTGTTCAAAATTCAATTCATGTTTGCTGTAACTGAAAGACATCAGTGAATATTTTTGTGAATAACAATAAGAAAAACGCAGGTGAAAAACATTTTGACTAGTTTCCTTCTTTTTTTTCTGTCGTTATTATCAGACAAATGTATTTATGACCAAATATTCGCAAACGCTGATAAAAGTTATCTTTTATTTTCATCAATAAAAAATTTATCATCTAATACAATTTGTTTATTTTAGGCTATCAACATTTACAAATGTAACGATTAGCAACCATTTATTTGTGTGGAATTGACCCTTTTCAAATAACTAATCAAACAAGAAGCCTATGATGGATACCACCTACTGAGTACACTACTACTTCTGCTACTAATTTTAAGGCTTGGCAATCGGTGATCATTTATAAGTTTTCGAAATTACTAAAAATATTAAGTAAATAAAAAGCAAGACTGGAAATAAACTTCTATGTGGTGAGTTATTATGACCTAGTGTACCTGAAAACCAGTCAGAATGAGGTGAGACTGATTGTTTTCGCCATCGTAATCCATGATAGACACTATTTTTCGTTCTGTATGATTTTCCGTTGACTTATCAGCGTCATAACAGTGTTTTTGATGTTCCAGTATGACAAAATATCGTAATTTATAAATGATTCAATAATGTGGAGTTTATTTTCATTAAAAAAAACAAACATAAAAATCGGATAGATAAAAATATATGAATCAAGATAAACGAATTTTTTTGGTATATCTAGAATCCATTGTAAAATAAACATATTAAATATACTTACTAGCTGTTAAATCTTTAATAAATTTAACTGTCAAATCCAAAATATCAGCTTTTTCTAATTTGTTAGACTGTAAAAAGAAAAAGAATAACGATTGGTTAAATAAACTAAATATATCAATAACTAAGTTAACAGTTGTCTACGCAAGATACTTAGGATCAGTTGGTTAGACAGCATAGGAAACAATCTACCGTAGGAGATAACAAACTAGACTCCAGATGAAAAAGAAATTAACAAAAGACAGTAGAGGTGGATAGGACACACATTGAAGAAAGCACCTAACTGCTTGACAAGGAGAGCTGTGAGATGGAATATTGAAGGTCAGAGGAAGAGATAAAGAAAAAAACACATGAGGACAAGAATTGGAAGCTGACATGAAAAGAATGAACAGCAATTGCAAAGAACTGGAAAGGAAGGCTGAGGGTAGAGTCATTTGGAGAATGGTAGTCGGTGGCCTTATACTCCATGATGGGTTAGTAATTCAATCAGCTACAATGTAGAACTTCATACTTACGCTCATCAGTTCAAGTTGCTACACCATATTAGCACAGAGTAGTTGAACGTTCAATTCGAATTCAATAGTAGTAGAGGTAGAAGTATTAAAGGAAATTAAGAAGGTTAGGGTTCGGAAGTATTATTCAAGAAGTATAATCCAGCGAAAAGAATTTAAGAGCAAGTAAAGGTCACGATGAATTCCAAAGACCAGAATTTGAGAGAAGACAATAAGGGACACACACGATTTTGAGCCATGTCATTGAAATTCTCCAATCATCGGCCATCAGCAATGACGAGACTTCAAAAATAAGTGCAACGTTCAACACGCCCGACTATCATTGGAGCCAATATCTAAGACACTACATTAGTCAAACTGATTCCTCTGTGATTGTCACAAGAGGACTTTTTCTTTTCTTGTAGACTGGGGCAATCAGTGGTTGAGATTAGTCAAATGCGATTACGTCCAGTTTGCTAATTCTACCTAAGATCTCAGTCAATTTCACTGCTTTCGCTAGCCCATCATCCTTGAAACTTTCAGGAGTTTATCGATCAGGTCCAGCTGCTTTTCCTTGCCTTATATTCCCTATAGCCTTTCCAATCTCATTAGGAGTTGGAGGACTAACATAAACTTGCTATTCACATTGACTCGAGATCGGTCAGTCAGTCAGTCAGTCAGATGCAACGTAGAACTTTGTACATAAGTACATCAGTTCATGTTGCCATACCACATCAAATCCTTCCTACACCCCCTCATGTCTCTCTTATCTCTACGACTAACTCGAGATCGGTAGTAACCGAAGAGTAGTTGAGGGCCAGTTGAACCTATCGATAAAGTGTTCTTCCCATCGATCCAATCTCCTGGATTGAGAATGAATAATATGCCGATGTTTTTCCGGGATAGTCTCACTAACAGCCGGATTTCTAAAACCGGTTTCCTTGACATGTCTGGATAGTTCTCTGTTACTTATTGCCACTGCCTTTCTATCTCTCTTCCTTTCGAAACCAACAAGTGTTTACTCCGTAGGCTCCTTATCAGCCAGTGCTTAAGCCGGCTCCGCTCTTCGCCATGTTCAGAGCCAGGCAGGATAAGTTTCCGAGCATCTGTCAGTTCAGTAGATGCTACTGAGATCCACCACTTCACATTAACCTTTTGGTTTATCTTAACGGTAGATATAACTGCTGTTTCTAGATTTCTATTTTCCTGAAAAATTCAATCACAGTTACAGTGAACTATCAAATTGTCCAACTCACTGTATTAAAATAATAAATTAAAAATAGGCTTTTTAGGCATTAAAAAATTACTCTGAAAATGTATTTCTTTTCTTTATCTGCTTTACCAAAATAATACATGAAATTTCACACGTTTTAAAAATTGTTGTTTAACATTTTCCATTCATCAACTTATCGCTCTCAAAAAGACAATTAATTATTACAAATTTTTGAAATAATTTGATGAATAGTTTTTGCCCTAACACAGCATGATACACGTTTGAAATTCCAAAAGTAGGACCTATTGTCCACTTAATTGAACAACAATAAAACACACACAGGCACACACATCCACTAGGTTGTAACACACAAAGTAGAAAAATCAGTTAGTTAGTTAGTTAGTTAATTCATTAATGTATCAATTAAAGTGAGAAAAAATAAAGTTAACACTTACATGTTTAACTCTTGGCTCTACAATCAATCTTCTTAATTCATCTAAAGCATGATTAATTCGTTGACGTCTACGTTTCTCCACTAAAGGTTTATTACGCTAATTTATTGATTAGAAAAAAAGAAACAGAAATAATAATTAGGACTGAATGCACAAAGCAAATAAAATTCAATTAGTAAACAAATCATCTATCTTAATTATATGATTACATTCTTTATCAAAGAAAAAAAAACTGGTGGCAACATCTTGTCATTTGATTTTTGAAGTGTTCTATGAAAAAGAAAAAACATGTGACAAAAAAGAAGTCAAGTGTTCCAACTGTCCAATTAACATGGTATAGAATAAAAGGTTATAGTGCCCATATATATTTCACGAGAAGAAAGTGTGCTAATCGTTCATTAAAATAAAATTAAGTTTGTGTGGAAAAACTGAAACACTTGAATTAGTCAGAAATTAATGCGATTTTTATTAGATTACATTTTAAAGCCTTTTTCGTTGACTTTGGAAAATCATAAATATATAGTGCGTTCACATAGATCTATCTATCGTGGATGCACACTACTGATGAGTCCCAGACCAGGACGAAACGGCCGTCCAGTGCTTCCAAGTTTCTAATGGTGGTCTAACATTGATCGATCCATGATTTCAAAGTGTCTACCTCCATATCAGTGAATTGGTTAATTAAATTTTATTTAGACTCTTATAAACTGTTACATCAGACCGAAGAACCAAACTATACAGTCACTTGGAATAAAGCATTCCATTCAGTTTAGTTATAAAAGATGTATTCAAGCTGTATGACCTCACTATTGGTTGTATAGGACCCTCAAAAATCTCACAATCTATGTTAACGTGTGATGAAACTTTCTTCCAAATAATTACTACACTACAACTAATACAATATAAAACAACATTATGCATAGTACTTGAAAGTAAACTATGTTTGTTTAAACTGTATTTTTAAAAATCGCCTCTTCAAAACAATCTAGATAAGCAGTTAGTTAGATGCCGTTCGAAAATGCAATGAAATTATTTAGTGGTTAGTTTTTCCAACAATCTAAATTTAATTTCCATACAAACTAAGTACATTCTAACAAATCGTAAGTATCCGATTCATATTCATATCCGAAACCTATCATCAAACGAATTTAAATTATCAAATATTTTAATTGGAAATACACTTATTCTTGAGAGTATGAACTTCAACACATGAGATCCTCATTGAGGAATATACACGTCAGGTAATTAAATAATAAAATGTTCATCTGTATTGTCTGTAGTTGAGGGATCTTTTTTACTTAGAATAATAACTGAACATTATACATATGTACATCAAAAACACAATCTGCATTGTCGGTCATATACATGACTGAAATTCTATTCTGGACTCTGTCATCAAATAAAACCAGACACTAGCTACTCATCTTCAAAGGAAATTGAGAGGTTACACTCTATTAGAATTAATATGATATTTGAAATAGTGAAACAGATTTCTATAGTTAAAGAGTAATTACACTTTATACCTGTTCCAGATCATAAAAGTGTTACTCGTTCAGTCCTAATAGTAATAATAGAGAATATTTAAGAATTATTCATCTTAAAAAGTAATTATCAAAATCACAAGCTGATGAATATTGAATCTGTATCAGAAATTTAGAAGTACTGGACATTTGTCTCGTCCGAGTATAAGACTCATCACCAGTACACATGACCTAGTGCTTCCAGGTTTTCAAATCTACTATTGATCAGTTCATGATTTTAATAAAACTTAATAATCTTTACAACTGTATACTGATAACATGAACTTACTTTTTTCAAATTAGTTTGAGTTCCATTTGAATGTAAATCAAATTGAATATTAGCTGAGATGTTCATGTCATCCGGTATAGTTGAATGTTGTGATACACGATTTGTGTAAGGAGTTGATGTATGCATCCTTGTGAATAAAATTAACCTCTATGACTACTTCTTTGTTGAACAGAATCAGCTAATTATATCATAATTTATTTATGAACTTAACCCAATAGGGTAGGATCTGTATGGAACTGTTAATTGATAACTGATTGGCTTTCTTAAAAGAATCATGAGATTCAAATATATTTTGTAATCTGATCCTTTTCTTATTCTACCCACCACCACACTTAACATGATGATTGAATTGCCTAGTGTCTCTTTAGTGCACACTGCACACATACACACACACAATGCACATTTTCACATGCAATAATTGTATTGTCAGTTTGTGAAAATTATTCTCTTCAATTTGATTTGTTGAAATGGAAGGACAATTTTAACAATCGTTTAAATAATTAATGACTTATTAAAATAATGCTGAAAATGTTACACATTTGTGATAATGAGCTGTAATGATTTTTATCACCTAATTCATTGAAAAAGGAGCACACTAACAATTATTTCCATTATGAACTAACAATCATTAGAAAACTATGGTACAGTTGATAGACAGCATTGTGCTACTGTTGTATTCTTGTAAGAAATTCATTAGAGCACCAAGAAGACCACACACATAGAATTAAAATTAGACAAACTAAAGATCTTTCCATGAAGCTGATAGTTTAGGACTTAACAGCTATTGTTTTATTCCTGAAATTGTGAACTTCCGAAGTTATGGTTTCACACATTCAACTACAGTTTAGAATATGAACCACCGAATTCGGACTCAATAATGAAAAAAAAGTATTCTGTCGTTTGTAGATTGTTATAATTCTAATGCCTATGATTTTCAATAACTACTGATCTATTAATGAAAACTTTTCCAAAGTTCTAGAAATCGTTACTCAGAGAAAACTATCTTGTTTTTTAGAATGATTAGATTAGCTAAGAGGGTGTATATTTGGTGTTTAAGCTGATATATGGAACAGAAAATTTCCCCACAATATAATTTTTACACAATCAATAAGAATCTGCAAATATTAAATTTATTTTTTATTCATGGAATGTGACGTTAAAATGCTTACAACTAGAGTGCCGAGACTGAAATCTGTTTCTTACAAATCTCATTCGATGCAATCATAAAACGTTTACAGTAAAAAGGGTTCTCAAAATATTATTCGAAAGATGTATATAAATCATGAATCGGTTATTGTTAGACCACCATTAGAAACCTGAAAGCACTAGATAGTCTTTTTGTCCTAGTATGGGACTCTTCAGCAGTATGCATCCATGACCCCAGCTCAAGGAAATCAAACTCAGGACCTTGGGTCTCGCGCGTGAACTCTTTACCTCTAGACTACTTGAGCTGGTACCAAACGGTGTTAATGTCTAACTTTAATCAATCTAACGTATTGTGCAACTTCTTAGGTGTGTCGAACACCACTGGTCACGGCTTAGTAGAACTCCAAGAATTTCTTCACGAGGCTAGTCACTAGTGAGTAAATTTTTATGATTTTCATGATAGAACAATGATCACTTTCATGAATTCTATGAAATTCACCAATCGCCACAACTTTAAAATGAAAATCTTAAAAGATATAGACACTAGCTAAAGACGGATATTTGCACAAATGCTGAGTCTTAAGACGGCATAAATGTTTTTTTAGAAATAAGCAAACATTGAACAACAGAAACCAAGAAATAAGATAGGTTTGAAATTAGTAGACTAAGATTATTTTAGATTTTTTTAAAAAATATCAAACAAAAAATTCTTTAAAACGTTTAGTGGCTGCGTTAAATTCGAAGTAGAGTTTACCTCTTTAGTGACTTGCTATGTGACTCCACTATGGATCATTGATCGAGTATGCGATGAAATAAATTTTCCCTTCAAATTAAGAAGCCAAATACGGTGAACAGACATGAGAATGAAAAGCTTACGAACAAAGTGAAGCGAGGTGGAGAAGGCGAGCGTGCGAGCCAACTAAATGTGATGTGGAATGACTAAGTACTTACAGTCAGATAGAAATACGCCAGACATGTGATTAGCGAAGTAAGTAAGCAGATATGCACTTAAATAAAAATAACCAAGGATATGAGTGAATCATAGACAAGGTTGAAAGACGTGTGAGTAACTCGAAGAGGATAGATCAATCAATTTGTCCGAAGGCTGGAGCAAGCCCTGTGGGTCCACCATATTTGTACACATACTACAGAAGCCTCCTAGTATGTTTCATAACCATTTATTCACTCATATTAACGGTGAATTTTATTCTTCAATCTAAGTGTATGTATTCAGAATGGTTACATTTTTCTTGTTTTGCTCATAATATACTGCTACACGTTTATTTGTCATTATGTAAACTTAAAAGACTGCTAAAAACAGCATTTTTCACAAAGGAAATCAAAACAGCCAAGTTACTTACTACTTAAAGAATAAACTTAAAATTCACTTCTATCATAAGGACAACTTTGAAGGTTGTGTTACTTTGAGGGATATTTCCACCACAATACTGGTTTTCTATTAAGTTAGCTCACAAGTACACTTCATCTTTTTCTCATTGTCCAATTATTCATTACTGATCACCATTTGAATGTGAATAATTCACTTCTCACTGATGAAAGTTAGCTATCGCTCATTCATAAATTTTTATTTTATAGTTATGTTTACATGTGTTTAATGATGTGTGACAGATAATGAAAAAAACTAAAGTTTCACTATCATGTTATGAAACATTTGTTAAGTAAATTTGTATGAATCATTTAGCACAATAAATCTTTTTTCCCCGGTGAAAATGGTATTCTTAACACTTTCGAATTTTTGTTTTCCAAAGAACATGACCTCAAAAATCTAGGTTTTTAACTTACTGATCAAAGTAGACTGTAAACCTAAGCTAAGAATATGTCTTTATTTACACAAAATAGATAAACCCAAGTCATACACTAAGAAAGAAATATGGTAAGAACCGAGTAAATTAATTATAAAATTGGATGTGCCAGTTAATTTTATTTGTTCTACGAAAAAAAGGAGGATACCTGCTCACTGAGTAAAGTAAAATACATACTTGACGAGAATGATCACATATGTAGTTGAGGCAAAAGAAGGTAGTGATGTTAAGATAATATAATAAGCAGAAATACTCAAAACCTGTGAAATTATGCACATGATCGACAAATCATGAGTGGCTTATGTGTCTAACCATCATTCGCAGTGGTAAATTAAAATACATATCTACACAATGACAAGGTTTCAAGTCCTTGTAATTTGAAGTGACTGGAATTCATGTCACGCTTGGTTATTTACTCTCGAGTTATCTGAGTTCAAATTAGGTTAGAGAAAATAAAGGTGAGAATTAGTAAAATGAAAGTTGGTACCAGTTAATCAAATCATTAACTGTTGGTTATAGAGATAAGTTTACTGATAGATATCAGCCGTATAGTTGTAAATTATGGTGTGAATATTTCAGAGATTCACCTTGTAGTCAGTCGCAGTAGTTCAGATGGATTTAAGTCTGATCACTCATCAGATTTTGAATTTTTATATTATTTCGTAAAATTTATCTCATTATTTAATTTATTATAGTCACATACTTGGGCAAAACGGCTACCCAGTTCTTCCAGGTTTATAATGGAGGTCTAACAATAGTTGATTCCCGATTTCAATATGAAACAACAATCTGCATACCTCTATAATGACAAAATAAAACAAGTTGTTTCCTATATAATTAACCTTGTTTAATGATACGTGAAAATTAGCAACTTGGACAGATAAAGAATAGTTCCGGATCTTTAGTTTTAAATGAGAAAATGAACTGATGACTTCATCATGTATGAAGATTCATTGTCGAGAAGTTCTACTAAAAATTCTAAAGGTACTTTTTAGTATTATATTGCCTGGTGTGTAATTTCATTGTAATCATGAGTCGATCATTATTATATCGCCATCAGAAACCTAGAAACACTGGACAGCCATTTCGTTTTAGTATGGCAATCGTCAGCAGCGTGTATCCACGTCTCCAGCTGGTGGGAATGGAACCCAGGACCATTGGTCTCGCGCGCTGACACCTGACCTCTAGATCACTAAGCCGACATCCAACGATGTTAATGTCTAACCTTAATTAACCCAAGGTATTGCGAAACAAGATCCATTTTCTTTGGTGGGTAACTGCTAACATCCGACCGGGTTGAAATCCGTTGGTCACAACTCCCCGCTAGAACTCCGAGAAATTTCTCACGAAGCTAGTCACAAGTGATCACACTTTCATGATTTTCATTATATAGTTTTGAAGAATGTTGAGTTTCACTGAAATCACAAATCGATCATTGAATACGCACCACCGATGAGTCCAATACTAATGTGGTGCGCGCTACTTATAAGTGGTAAATGACGCGAGTGAGAACGTAATGTCTGGCAGCAGAAGATGGGGGAAGATCAAGGAAGTAAGAAGAGTGGGAACACAATGGAATTCGTATGAAACGCATGAATAGTGAAATGTCAGACAATCGATTGATGATGGATTGATATTTTGCAAATTAACGGTTACGATATGGTTTTCCTATTTTACTGAGTAACTCTGTAATTTGTGATAAATACAATTCGGTTGCCCTCACCTGTGTTCTCCGTCACTACACTAGGACAAAACAGCCGTCCAGTGCTTTCAGGTTACTGATAGTGGTCTAACAATGATCGATTCATGATTTCAATGAAACTCAACATTCTTTACATCATTATGATGAAAAATATCATAGAATTGTGTACTTGAATAATTTTATCTAACATATTTTCAACATCCTTTAATATCAATATATACCTCATACTAGGCGTGGGAAAATTTGAGTCGGTAAAAGAACGTACATGGAAAAAATCTGTTCCTAAGTTGATCTAGTTAAACACGACTTTCATATGATATATGTGTGTTTTCTTTGACTGACTTAAAGAAATTTCGATAATCCAATGCAGAAAACTTAACTAATGAAATGACATGTATAACTTTAGTGTAAAATTGTAATGACTATTTAAAATATTCTGTAAATGCTACTAACAA